TTACTTTGTACCATGTACAAAGGTAGTTCATGTATAAAATGTTTTACTTTGTACCATGTACAAAGGTAGTTCATGAATACAATGTATTACTTTGTACCATGTACAAATGTATTTCATGAATACAATGTATTACTTTGTACTGTGATCAGTAGGAGTTACTGTATACAATGTATTACTGTAAAACATTGTATACGGGAACCAGTGCTGGACACGATTAACAGTAATACATTGTATAGAGGAACTTCTGCGGTACACGGTACAAATGATATTTGTATACCAGAATTCTTACTGTAGACGGTGCAAAGTGATCGATTTTATACCGGAACTAATGCTGTACACGGTTCAAGCGATACATTGTGTATCAGATTTACCACATTACACAGTATAATGGCATAGGTTGTATACCAGAACTACTGTTGTAATCTGTACAAAATGTTCACCAACTCCTTTATCCGAAATATTTCTTTTACTCGATGGGAAATTAACCAATTTTTTTGTTAGGATTTCTGCACCTGATAGTACAGTGGTAAATATTTTATATAATGCTACAGAATATGATTTTATTATAATTTTAAAAAAATACTCGTTGTACGTGTTCGATATATGTTGCAGACCGGAACTTGATAAATGGATGAGGGAGGGGTCGGTAATTATACCTTACATAGAACGAGTTATAACTTTAAATACAAACATTACATTCTGGTGTAGATTTTTTGTTGACTTGTCGTTCATCAGAAAAACAGTTATCGATGAAGACCACAAACAAGATAAAAGTTGTAAGAGCACGCTTGAGATCTGGCTGAGTGATGACCTGTCGATAGGACATCTGCACGATCGGCCATGTGGAACCTTGGTGCGGCGTTCTACAATTGATCACTCCCCGTATCTGTGTAGCACGCTCTTCTGTCTTTTTTCACACCGTGTTTTATCACCGAGCCTGATAGTCTCACATTTATTGATATGGCTCCACTACTAGTCAGTATGGTCTTTGTGATATCAGGCGACATATCGCCGGAAAACCACCGACCTTTAACAAAACATAACTGCATTTGATTTCGGAAAAGTACACTCTCCATCACATAAACAGTACAGTCAAGGAAAATCAGTAATAGATAACAAAAAACAAGATTAAGTTTGGGCTACAACATATACTTAATGTTTCTAGGAAAGAAAACCGGAAGTACAATACATAACAATTTACTGCGACTGCAGGTTTAAGCTCTATATACCTGTACATGTATATTGTACATGTATATTTTAACAATGAAATCTCATGTATATGGATATGTTTTTCCACATGTCACTTTTTTTTATCGATTTTCATTCTTTTAGCGTTTAGTACAATTGATAAGTCCCGAATAGAAGAAACGGCTGTGTGGTACTGTACAGTAAAATAGTATACTTTGTAATTTCATTTTTTAAAACAACCAGATCAATTTGATCTTATTTTTTTCTATCAAGGTTACTTTCTGTATGGACAATGTAAATTGGTCTATTTATATAGATGCTTCCCGCGTATTCCTAGTGATAGCTTTACGTCACAACATCGTTGACTGCTGAAGGAACCTTGTAGCTGAAATTTTATGCAGCAAGACTTTCATTAAATACAACCTTTTTTATTTGATTACAAGTTATCCGTTGTATCCGAAAACGATTGATTTGTAACGTAGTTATAAGTTTTATAGATACCTACCCTTACAGTGTATTTTGACATGTGTTCCGGAGTATTTTGGGTATTGATTTTTTTTCTTTTTGAACTTCAGTTCCATTGATGAGTCCAAAATGGATGAAATGGGCCATATGGTGAATATAAACTGTATGTATGTATTGCGTTCTGCATCAACCTTCAATTTTTTTAAATAGTGCGCTTCTTTTTTTATTTCTAGTGACTATTCTCCAAAGTGCAAACTTTCAGTTTACTAATACAACCGATTTCGAAGTTAAAAAAGAGTTATGAATTATATAAATTACCATTTACAAGCTCATTTTATCCATTGTTCATCTAGAAGAATTTCAATTTGCTAAGCGTTCTAGCATTTATCACATGCTACGATAAACTGTTCTTACCATTCCCAACTTGTCTTGCAATTTAACTCTAAATGACGTTTTTTATATCAATGTTTCTCCGCTGACCCCTTGTCCTTGCGATACTGGTAATCTCGTGTATGTGTTGTTGTTGATGTTGTATACATTACGTAGCGCGTGTTAACTCTGCTCCCTCGTGTATGTGTTGTTGTTGATGTTGTATACATTACGTAGCGCGTGTTAACTCTGCTCCCTCGTGTATGTGTTGTTGTTGATGTTGTATACATTACGTAGCGCGTGTTAACTCTGCTCCCTCGTGTATGTGTTGTTGTTGATGTTGTATACATTACGTAGCGCGTGTTAACTCTGCTCCCTCGTGTATGTGTTGTTGTTGATGTTGTATACATTACGTAGCGCGTGTTAACTCTGCTCCCTCGTGTATGTGTTGTTGTTGATGTTGTATACATTACGTAGCGCGTGTTAACTCTGCTCCCTCGTGTATGTGTTGTTGTTGATGTTGTATACATTACGTAGCGCGTGTTAACTCTGCTCCCTCGTGTATGTGTTGTTGTTGATGTTGTATACATTACGTAGCGCGTGTTAACTCTGCTCCCTCGTGTATGTGTTGTTGTTGATGTTGTATACATTACGTAGCGCGTGTTAACTCTGCTCCCTCGTGTATGTGTTGTTGTTGATGTTGTATACATTACGTAGCGCGTGTTAACTCTGCTCCCTCGTGTATGTGTTGTTGTTGATGTTGTATACATTACGTAGCGCGTGTTAACTCTGCTCCCTCGTGTATGTGTTGTTGTTGATGTTGTATACATTACGTAGCGCGTGTTAACTCTGCTCCCTCGTGTATGTGTTGTTGTTGATGTTGTATACATTACGTAGCGCGTGTTAACTCTGCTCCCTCGTGTATGTGTTGTTGTTGATGTTGTATACATTACGTAGCGCGTGTTAACTCTGCTCCCTCGTGTATGTGTTGTTGTTGATGTTGTATACATTACGTAGCGCGTGTTAACTCTGCTCCCTCGTGTATGTGTTGTTGTTGATGTTGTATACATTACGTAGCGCGTGTTAACTCTGCTCCCTCGTGTATGTGTTGTTGTTGATGTTGTATACATTACGTAGCGCGTGTTAACTCTGCTCCCTCGTGTATGTGTTGTTGTTGATGTTGTATACATTACGTAGCGCGTGTTAACTCTGCTCCCTCGTGTATGTGTTGTTGTTGATGTTGTATACATTACGTAGCGCGTGTTAACTCTGCTCCCTCGTGTATGTGTTGTTGTTGATGTTGTATACATTACGTAGCGCGTGTTAACTCTGCTCCCTCGTGTATGTGTTGTTGTTGATGTTGTATACATTACGTAGCGCGTGTTAACTCTGCTCCCTCGTGTATGTGTTGTTGTTGATGTTGTATACATTACGTAGCGCGTGTTAACTCTGCTCCCTCGTGTATGTGTTGTTGTTGATGTTGTATACATTACGTAGCGCGTGTTAACTCTGCTCCCTCGTGTATGTGTTGTTGTTGATGTTGTATACATTACGTAGCGCGTGTTAACTCTGCTCCCTCGTGTATGTGTTGTTGTTGATGTTGTATACATTACGTAGCGCGTGTTAACTCTGCTCCCTCGTGTATGTGTTGTTGTTGATGTTGTATACATTACGTAGCGCGTGTTAACTCTGCTCCCTCGTGTATGTGTTGTTGTTGATGTTGTATACATTACGTAGCGCGTGTTAACTCTGCTCCCTCGTGTATGTGTTGTTGTTGATGTTGTATACATTACGTAGCGCGTGTTAACTCTGCTCCCTCGTGTATGTGTTGTTGTTGATGTTGTATACATTACGTAGCGCGTGTTAACTCTGCTCCCTCGTGTATGTGTTGTTGTTGATGTTGTATACATTACGTAGCGCGTGTTAACTCTGCTCCCTCGTGTATGTGTTGTTGTTGATGTTGTATACATTACGTAGCGCGTGTTAACTCTGCTCCCTCGTGTATGTGTTGTTGTTGATGTTGTATACATTACGTAGCGCGTGCTCCCTCGGTTGATTAGAGTTTTCTATTGTTTCCTAGCGAAGACCTTTGTATTTTAACTGTCTTGACCTAATGGAGTTTTGAGTTCTGTATTCCTCTTAAAAAATCGCTGAAAGTTTTGTTTAATATTTCAAAAGATACATTTGTTATATGTGTTTGATTATGTTCGACTTTTAGTGATGTTCTGAGAATCATTGCGAGTTTTCTTGACATTTTTAAGGTTCCTTGAAAGCTGTGTAAATTTCCACGTGTGTATGTGTGACCCCGTAAAGTATGAATTAACATACATGTGGTGCAGAAACCGTGCCAGGTCAACTGTATAACGACGTGTACATATTTTTCACACCTTCGCCAATTTGGCTCCTTTAGTGACATTCTCAGCATTGTTTAAATTGCTTGTTTTTGATGGATAGTTTGACCTCCCACGCTGGTAAAAGAAACTTGCGCACTCGCAGCAAATATAATGGTATGGTGTTGGGTATTTCTGTACATTAAATTCCAATCCTCTTAATTGTTCAATCTCTTTTTACTATTTTCCAGGCAAACAGATCTGTGGAGCAGCAAATGTCGAGGAACAATCAAATAATGAGCCCGAGCACGTCTGTCTCGCCCAAATCTTTCGAAACATCGACTTGTCAACTGCACTCTTCAAATATGGAAACCATTTTCAAAATATTTGGGAAATATTTTAAAATCGTAGAAGATCCGTATAGACATCAGTATCACACCATACAAATATGCTGATAAAGAAACTTAACGTTTTTAAAATGGACAGAAACATACGAGTTTATTTGTATTTCTCTATCTGGATATTCATGGCCTTTGGGGCAATAGTGTTAAACATTATGAACGTGGATTGGAATAAAACAGAATACGTGAACGGTGTGATCATTGTAGTGGTGCTTGGCGTACTACAGGGTTCGGTGTTCGAATTCCCCGTGCAGACGATCGCGACGCTGATCGTTGGAGGCGAGACCCGCAAAAACAAAAAAGCGCGCTGTGATCGTTTCACCATCGTTCTAAACTACAACTTGCTTGCCCTAGGCCGGGACGATATTGATGAGTGTATGGACACTATGTATGAGGCCTATATAGGTAACCTCAGTCCAAACGTATCCGCCGTCCTGGTCAGCGCCACCGGCGCCGAAGAGCTAAAACAGTACGAAACGGATGTCGTTAACAAATTCCGGAGTATAATATACGATCAGTTGTATAATGAAGGCATAGCCTTCGCCAAGAATGACCACGAGTCGATTGACCCGTTACACTACGAGCATGTGTGGCAGATGTACGAAGACATCGATAAGGCGTTATTTATCAGGGAGTATCTTCACCAGATCTGTGACCGCTATGCCAAGGAGTTCATGGTCATTCACAGAGTCAGTCGTGTGCTCCGGAAGTGTGGGCAGTATCAGGATCTCATGCTATTGTCGGAAGGTGATGACGTAGCATACACGTACTGTGACGTAGAATACTATCAAAAAAGCGCGCGCCGCTATGGAGAACCACTGTTTCACCAATCGGAGGACGTTAGTAATATATTTGGAAGGAAATTTGACTATACGCTTGTATTGGATGGCGATACTGGAGTTCCGAGAGGAATGGTTTTCGAACTCCTGGAAATTGCTGCAGCGAATCCCGAACGAGGAATAATCCAGCCGTCCATCAAACTTCACTGTTCCCTGACGGACACCGTCTTTATGCATCTCGAGTCTATGCGACAAGCTATTTATAGTCCTATGACAAACGCTGTAATGGCATTGTTAGGACAATCTGCATATTTCGGAAAGGCCATGATAAAAAATCGTATATACATAGACAAAGTGATCGGCACGCGCACTAACTTGATCGAGCTCGTGCCTGTGGATGTGCTAAGTCACGACACGTTCGAGGCGGCCATCTTACACCCCATGTACGCTGGGTCTACACACCTACTAGAGGCGCCTTCGTATAATTTCGTCACATGGAACATTCGAGAGAGACGATGGAATCGAGGAGAAATTTTGTTGGCAATGTATTTCTGGAAAAATGGTATCGGTAAACCAATGCGCTGGATACAGAAGAAATTTCAAAAGGACAAATTCAACAAAACGATACTGCGGACAGAATCTAAGTTAGATTTCGTGAGTTCCTATGTGGCCTATTCTGCACTTCGGCAGATGTTGATGAAACCTCTGCTGCTGTTTTACGTAATAATCCACATCAGTGTCCATCTCCGTTATAGGTACGCCTCCATCATCATCATCATGTTCCTTGTCCTCGTCTTCCCAAAGTTTGCTACGTGTACCAAACACAACTACAAATTTGTCATCCTAGAGTCTATTGCCTCCATCGTCCAGTTCACACCGGAAGCAATCATTGGATGCGTACGCATAGTTAAAGCCGTCCAGGCAAATTTGTTCGCTAATGTTAAATGGATCCCCCAAAGAGCGGTGGAAGAGGAATTCCGGGAATCTAATCCATTCTGGTTCAGTTTTAAACATCTGTGGGGTTACTCAGCCTTTGCTCTGATATGTGGTGTGTTAGTGATATTATTTCTACAGAGAGCAATGCTGGTTCTTGTGATGTTAATAACGCTCTTTCTATTGCCATTGTATACTGGAGTAACGTCACTTCCGGTGGCTGCTGCTCCCGAAAAGAGTATGGTTTACAAATCGGACAAAAACGCGCACGTTGCGTTCAGTGTAGCTGCGACACAGGGAGTGTATAAGTCTTTAGGTACACTGCGCGCTTCCGATACAGAAACCGAAAGTAGTAATGGCACGTTCAATGGAAATCCCAGCATATCTCCGGTGTGACCACGGAATTAGATTATCTAAGTCCGTGGTGTGACGTAGCAGTTACCCTAGTCCCCATAACAATTCCTAGACCCAGTGACGTCACAAGCCAATCAACATATCCCGGAAATAATTCATTTATTATTATATGTTAAGTATCCCTGTCCCACTGCAGACAGAACTCTACATAATTCGTACATCCAGTTAACTCACATTTATTTAATTTCAGAAATGATTTATCAAAGTTTTAGTTACGCATATTGTTCGGCATAGGCACGGGGATCCTTAAAGCTCAACACACTGGAACGTTGTTTCTTGATTGATACGCACGCATAGAGAGTATATTGACTTCAGCCTTGTTTATGATGTGTATTGTCAGAGTCTCGCCGAGTCAGTTCATTGTTATTGATGGGAAGTTCAAGATAATTTAAAGCGAATTCTTTATTGTTTAATTTAGAAAGCAATGAGACTAGGTACAATTTGTCCATACGCATGATCGCATGTAGTCTCGGGGACGTAAAACAAACCCAACTTTATTTAGTGTAATATGTCTACCTCAATGCGCCTGTGTATTATACAAACATTTATATTTATAGAACTCTCACATTTTATACTATAAAATGGTATAACTCAACGTATCTTGTTTCTTATATTTCATACACACTGTATTACTGTTTTATCAAATCTGTATATAAAGGTTACTTGAGGTAAATCCCGAAAGTATTATTTACAGTCAGATGGACTTTATACGGAGTGTTAAAAACACACACAACTCTTAAAGGAGTTCGTCGTATGTTACAGTTTCTGGTTTTAAGATTGCTGCATCCTTCTCTAAATTACATTGAGTTTGTTGACAGCAAAATAGACGATCAACTAAAATCCAGAACAGTTTGTAGTAAATTGGAGTGGTTGTTATGTGCTGGTGGATATTATGAGCAGACGGTGGTTGTTGTAATGAAATTGTTGTTTTGAGTGGTTGTTATGAGAAGGTGGTTGTTGTAAACAGGTGAGTGTTGATGTCAACTTGGTGTTAGGAGCTGTTGGATATTATGAATGAGCAGGTAGTTGCCTATGAATAGGTGATTGTTGTTATGAGCTGTTTGTTGCTATGAACAGGTGATTATTGCTATGAGCCGTTTGTTGCTATGAGCAGGTGATTTTTGTTACCTTTTATTGGTTGCTATGAACAGGTGATTGTTGTTATGAGCTTTTTGTTGCTATGAACAGGTGATTGTTGTTATGAGCTGTTTGTTGCTATGAACAGGTGATTGTTGTTATGAGCTGTTTGTTGCTATGAACAGTTGATTGTTGTTGTGAGCTGTTTGTTGCTATGAACAGGTGATTGTTGTTATGAGCTGTTTGTTGCTATGAACAGGTGATTGTTGTTATGAGCTGTTTGTTGCTTTGAAAAGGTGATTGTTGTTATGAGCTGTTTGTTGCTATGAACAGGAGGTTGTTGTTATGAGCTGTTTGTTGCTATGAACAAATGATCGTTGTTATGAAATGTTGGTTGCTATTAACAAGTGATTGTTGTTATGAGCTGTTGGTTGCTATTAACAAGTGATTTTTATTATGAGCTGTTGGTTGCTATTAACAAGTGATTGTTAATAGCAACCAACATTTCATAACAACGATCATTTGTTCATAGCAACAAATGATCGTTGTTATGAAATGTTGGTTGCTATTAACAAGTGATTGTTGTTATGAGCTGCTGGTTGCTATTAACAAGTGATTTTTGTTATGAGCTGTTGGTTTCTATGAACAGGTGATTTTTGATATGAGACGGTGGTTGCTATGAACAGGCGAAGTTGTTATGAGCTGTTGGTTGCTATTAACAAGAGATTTTTATTATGAGCTGTTGGTTGCTATGAACAGGTGATTTTTGATATGAGCTGGTGGTTGCTATGAACAGGTGATTTTTGATATGAGTTGGTGGTTGCTATGAACAGGTGAATTTGTTATGAGCTGATGGTTGTTATGAACAGGTGATTGTTGTTATGAGCTATTGGTTGCTATGAACAGGTGATTGTTGTAATGAGCTGTTTGTTGCTATTAACAAGTGATTGTTGTTATGAGTTGTTTGTTGCTATGAACAAATGATTGTTGTTATGAGCTGTTTGTTGCTATTAACAAGTGATTTTTATTATGAGCTGTTGGTTGCTATTAACAAGTGATTGTTGTTATGAGCTATTGGTTGGTATGAACAGGTGATTGATGTAATGAGCTGTTTGTTGCTATGAACAGGTAATCTTTGATATGAGTTGGTGTTTGCTATGAACAGGTAATCTTTGATATGAGTTGGTGTTTGCTATGAACAGGTAGTTTTTGATATGAGTTGGTCGTTGCTATGAACAGGCGATTTTTGATATGAGCTGGTAGTTGCTATGAACAGGCTAATTTGTTATGAGCTAACGGTTGTTATGAACAGGTGATTTTTGATATGAGTTGGTGGTTGCTATGAACAGGTGATTTTTGATATGAGCTGGTGGTTGCTATGAACAGGTAATTTTTGATATGAGTTGGTGGTTGCTATGAACAGGTGAATTTGTTATGAGCTGATGGTTGTTATGAACAGATGATTGTTGTTATGAGCTGATGGTTGCTATGAATAGGTGAATTTGTTATGAGCTGGTGGTTGCTATTGACAGGTGATTGTTGTTACGAGCTATTGGTTGCTATGAACATGTCATTGAACAGGTGATTATTGTTACGAGCTTTACGATGTTGTGATAAACTTTTATAAGCATGTTGCTATAAGCTGTTGTTATGAACCTGTCGTTTTGAGTGGTTGTTATGGGAAGATTGCGGTTATGTAAAGGTGTATGTTGATATAGACTTGATGTTTGAACAGTCAGTTGTTCTGAACAGGTGATTGCGGTTATAAACTAGTTATGAGCTGTTGGATGTTATGAGCAAGTGGTTGTTATTGAAGGAGACCTCTCTACATCAATCATGTGTCTTTATTATTGCACACCATCGTCAGTGACTATGATTAATGATTCATTTTCTGACTGACTTTGCATGCTTGTGCATTTGTATTTCGCATGTGAAACTCTCTCGTTTTTCTCTGGGCGTGGCAAATTGCTCTTCCTTTCTTGATAACAAGAATCCGCCAAACTGACATTATTTGTTCAAAAGTTTACGTTTATCATCGTTAACAATATAATCCCCTCCATAACATACTTAGTTATTAATTTTACAATTTGTCATCAATTACCTGCCATGACCAGTGATATAATATAATATGAAATCTTCCTTGCAGTAAAAAAAAGTTAATAAACGCATGGACATATCGTACGGACGGACCCCC